CATTTGTATAATGTGAATAGAAACTTAAGAAAGGACATTACTTTCTGGTTTTCCCATTTTCAGACTAAAATTTCTGCATTTATTGTATTTACTTTTTAGCTCGACTGAGGGTTTTGTTTTCAAAACTTAAAACTTGGTTTTCACTTTTCATTCAAAGGAGAAAACTTAAACTTGGTAGGATTCTCTCGGAGAATTTCGAGTCTCTTCTTTGGGCAGAAAATTCGTTTTCTCTCCTTTGTCTGAAAAAACCTAAGGAAGTTTTTCCTGGTGGAAATTAATTGAGGATGTGATGTTAAACTTTTACATGGTAGAATTTACTTTTATCTGAATTTGGACAGTGTCCAATTTGGCACCGGATATAAAAAAGGGGAAGAAAATGGACTTTGTGCTCTAATTTTTGTTCTGCATTTCGCAATTAGCACTCATTATCACTTACATTATTTGAGTACAGACAGATGAGAGAACTGATATTTTACCACAGAATCAGTTCATGAGTCTTCAAGTAGCTGCTGACTTCCTCTTCTTCGTTTTTGTGATGAGCTAATCTTTTAAGATATTGCTTTATTTTCATCGATCTTTCTAATCATACTTATAAATAAATCCCCGTTCTTGATCAGAACTTGAGGAGGACATCATGTATGTCAGTGGTAACATTAGCTTATCAAAGTCTTGGAGTGGTTTATGGTGACCTGAGTACCTCTCCTCTCTATATTTACAAGACCACCTTCTCTGGGAGGTTGAGCCTTCATGAGAATGATGAGGAAATACATGGGGTGCTTTCTTTTATCTTCTGGACATTTACTCTCATTGCTCTCTTCAAATACATTTTTATTGTGATATCGGCTGATGACAATGGTGAAGGTATGGCTTTGTGACCATATTTGAGTACTTACAACATGGTAATCATTTGATATAGCATTGCTGAGTCTTCATCTTATTCTTATGCAAAGCAACATAGTTCGATAGGAAAAGCTGTAATAAGTTCCATAGATGCTTTCTAATTTGAAGCTCAAAGACTAAGAGACAGGCTTATTGGATGGAACTGTTTGATTATGGTTCAGGTGGCACTTTTTTCCTGTATTCCCTGCTGTGCAGGCATGCAAGACTAAGTATTCTACCTAACCAACAAACCACGGATGAAAAACTGTCTGCATATGCAACAGATGAACCCAGAGACACATTGCAGAGCTCTGCTCTAAAGTCCTTTGAGAAATGCCCAAGATTTCAAAAGGGGCTTTGGATTTTTGTTCTTCTACGGACGTGTATGGCAATCGGTGATGGAGTACTTACTCCTACAATCTCAGGTAGCCATTTGTGGTAACCTTTTCTTGTGTACATGACTTATTTCCTACCTTTGATAATTTTATGCGCTTGTTTTTGGTTTATCTTATCCTCTGATGTCCAACTGTAGCTTGGTGACAATTCATGATGGTTTGGTTTCTAAGCTACAGTCTCATCATGAGTATTCTAATAGAATATGTTTGTGTCTCCTCTTTCAGTTCTTTCAGCAGTTTTAGGTGTCAAACTCAAGATCGGAGAACGTCATGAGAGTAAGTCCATATTTAGTCTTATGGTCATCATATTTGTAAACCATTTGAAACAATCATGAACTATTGTAAATCAAGTTGATTTCTATCTTCAGATTATGTTGTTATAATCTCATGTGTCATTATCGTGGGGTTATTCTCCCTTCAGCATCATGGCATGCACAGAGTTGCTTTTGTGTAAAGACTGTACAGATCTAGTCTAGTATACATTTAACATGGAATGCCTTCCCTTCCACCTGGTGAAAAGTTTACATTGCCTGATCTTTACTTGTTTGTGAGGTGCATTTTTATAGTTTGATGTCATTATAGTGGATCATAGAACTGAAGTGCTGCTGCTTTACCATACTTCCCTGGAATATAACAGAGGGGTGTGACATTTACTTCTGAGAAATGGATGTGATGTTGCTCTGCTGAAGTATTGATTTGTTTTAGCTTGATCATTATAAGTTTGTTCTGCTGATAATTGGTAGGGACATCTAGATTCATCCTCGTGGGGTAGAAAGTTTTGTACTCTTTTCACCAATGCATAACAGTTTGTGCAACGTTTTCTTTCTTTCTTTTTTTCTTTATTGAACGCTGCATTTCAAAATTCATGTTTATGATGCTTTTGTTACGCCGGGAAGTAAAATAAACACAGTTGATAGATTTCTTGAGTTGAGTATATACAGATAAAGATGGTTGTAGCAACTAAGAGAAAAAAAATGCAAGTTATGCAAGCTTCTCTACTCCACTTCAGGTTAAAGATCACTCCTTTTTTTTTTTTCTGATGGTTACCACTTTTGTTGCCCTTGTTAGTTTAGTTTTTCTTCTTTTCTGACCTAGAATTTTTCTTTTTCCTTTTTTCCCTTTCCTTCTCTCGTAATTTTAGAATTGTGGGGTGTTATTTGTCAGTGAAAAAGGTTTAGGGAGTAATCATCAACTTGAAGTTGTGTAGAGGGGCTGATTTGAATATTTTTCCAATAAGAAAGATTAATGCTAGACAGACAAGCTCTAGCAATGAACTCAACTACTACTTCTTTCTTAAACCTGGATTAGCATAAAACTATCCTCCCATCCAAACATCCCCGTGTACAGAACCATGCTTAAACCTGACGCTTCTCGCGCCTAAATCATTTTGCATATTTTTAGGAATGATTGTCAGAATATAAACCCTTGAACCCGACAATCTACACAGAACAGACAGTAAGCAATCTAGCAGGCAAAAAGCGATCATGTCGAGCACAGGAGCAGCTCGGGTTGCGCCCATGGGGGATGAAGTTCCGATCCTCGACATGTCTGTATCCACTATTTTCCCCTGATTTGTTGTCAAATTTATCTATGAATTTTATCATCTGTGACCTGTTTCTTTTTTCTATTCACAGGAAATCAAAGCTTTATCGATTCGATAAGGATGGGAATCAGTGGAAAGAACGAGGCGCTGGTACTGTGAAGCTGTTGAAGCACATGGAGACCAGCAAGGTGCGCCTCGTTATGAGGCAATCCAAAACATTCAAGATCTGCGCTAACCATCATGGTCCGTTTTTTATTTTGTTCTTTTTGGCTGTGGTATCTGTTATTTTATGGCTTCTCTTGTAAATATTTTTGTGTATTTTTGCAGTGCTGCCGACAATGACAGTGCAGGAGTATGATGGGAATGACAAGTCATGCGTGTGGCACGCAACTGACTTTGCCGATGGTGAATTGAAGGATGAATTCTTCTGCATTCGTTTCACATCTGTTAAGTGTGAGTATTTTACCTTCACTTGCTTTTTTTAGTTATTCTGATAATGAAATTAAATGGATGTTGGGTTCTTTTCTTTTGATTCTTTATTTAATAATTTGATCATGAATCTTACCTATTGAAAGCAACATTTGAACATGCATCTTACTTTTCTTTGAGCATTCATATCAGTATTGGATATTTTGCACAAGTAGTTAATTGCAGATTTGCAACTTAAAGGCAGGCAATTCTGCTTACTTTTCGGTATCAACTACCAAATTGATTAGAGTTCCAGCTTTAGTCACTTGTATAACGTGGTAAATTGGTAATGGTTATTTTATGTAACAAGCAATCATATTTCATTCCTTAGATTTGGATGCCTTTCTCATTGAGGTTAAATTGTTGGGGTTTGTGTTTTGCTTTATATTCTAGTGAAACTAGTGCTTCTAAGAAGAGTAAATTTAGCACTGTTGGTGCTGTGTGGTGACCTATAACAGTGATGCATTATAGAATTGGCCAAAGATTATAGCTGTCAACTGAAACAATAACCATTTGTCCTACAATTAGCTAGAACTACAGGGTATAGGTGTGTCAATTTGTGAGCTTGAGATATTCAGCGTTCTATAATAGATGTTTTATTGAATCTGGTTGTGTGTCTTCTTCTTCCCTGAGTCTGGGACATTCAATGTAAGACTTATATTGGTTTTATTGCTGCATCTTGCTTATGCTCTTGCTCGTTTTAAACTCATCTTCTGTATTTCATATTACAAAATATTTTTTTAATGTTTAATTGAAGCTGCTTGTGTGTCTTCTTTAGTTCTTTTTGTGAATCCTGTGTCCAATGGACATCCAATGCAATAAGCTCTTTATTTTTGTTGCTGCATCTTAACTCTTGACTTTTTAAGATCATCTTCCTTATTTTCATACTCCAAGGCATTTTCTTAATCAATTGGTGGATAAAGGTTCCCATGCTGACAGTAATTGGAAATTGGCCTTTTAATGCAATGGATAATATTTTGGTGTCATTTTAATATGGCTGTGTATCTCTTAAAACTCCTATTTTACTTATCATTGACTCTTTTTATTTCATAAATTAGATTGCAAAGACTTTATGAAAATATTCCAAGAAGTTGCTGAATCTCAAAAGAACAGAGAGGAACAAGAAGTTGCTGAATCTCAAAAGAACAGAGAGGAAAACAAAGATGTAACTGCAGCTGCTGGACTTTTTGAGAAGTTGAGTCTTGAGGAGAAGAAAACCGAAGATAAGGATGCAAAGGATGATGTAAAAGCATATTTTGGATCATGTTTTGGGCAGGGACAGCTGTGGTCTAGCATGTCCTCTCTGGGTGTAAAAAAAATTGGGGCTTTGCTCGGTCCATGCTTGTTTCCAAAAACCCAGTAAAGAAGGTAATAATATTTTTGGGGTATAAATTTGTGAAGCTGTGTTGTGTTGTGTCTGGATTTCTTTATGTTTAAGATATTAAAGAAGAGATTGTCAGAAACATCAATTTATAAGACTGCTTTGTGAAAGGAGATTTTAGAAGGAATATGAACTTATGCCCTGTTTATATTTGGTTTACGGTAAATGATTCCCTTGTCATAGATATTTTCTGTAGAAAAGAAATTGTTATAACTATTTTCCTCGTCTTAGTCTTAACCTTTGTACTGCTTTTACTGTGCTAGTCAATGATAAGTGTATATT